CTGGTAAATCTGCCCTTTGCTGGGCACTCTTGAGAATTTCAATGTTTTTCTCTAAATGCCTCACCTGCTTGTGCCCGTGGGCAAGGGTGGGATGTTGCCCACTTGCTTGCACCTGGAGCATCACCTAACACTTGACAAGTGCCCAGGAGGGTTTCTGAGGAGGATGACCTTCAAACCTCATTGCCAACCCATGAGAACCAACCCGTAGCTGAGCCTCCACCGGGTTTTCACAGCAGGAGAGGAAACTGCCCGTCTTTCTCCTCTGGAGCAGCTGGTGCCTTGGGTTGGCAGTGAAACTCTTTACCCACTAGGTCACTAGAGCTGAGGAGGATGAAGGGGGGGGCACTCAGAATAAATCAGCACCGGGCTCTTCCTCACTCCCCCATTTTTCAGTTAACTCAGCCCCAGCAACAGGAGCTTCGAGGTGTTCTCCTGCTCCTGTCTGGAACAGTGAAGGGCTCTCCCACAGTGGGTTTCTGACTCATCGCAACAGCCAGCCTGGCCAGGTTCCTCTGCCTGCTTATTCAGATGGACTTGGGGGTGCACGAGAAATCCTGGCTGGCAACAGGTGAAGCCAATAGGCTGAGATTGTTCAGTGCTACAAGGCCACTGATGGATGAGACCACAAGTGGGTGGCAGGCAACCAGAGACAGAGAATGCGGTCAGGGCTGTGCCCGCCCTTCCAAGTGGGTCCCGAGGGTGGGCTGGTGAGGAGTCAGCCACGGCGCCGTCAGGCTGGCCTGGGAATACAGTCATCTCTGCGCAGTTTACCAAGGATTGCACACCCTGGCCCCTTGGCTCTGCAAATGCACCAGTGTGTTGCGTCTGGGGAAGAAGTCACAAACTTCTGGTGGGGGGAGAGCCTTGGGAGGGGAAAAATGTGTAACAATGAATGAATGGAAATCCAAAGCCTCTGTAAAATTTTACTGAAATTAATAACAAATTTAAATTTTGAAAAAAAGAATTGTTAGAATAAAGATGGCAATGGATTTATAACTACTCATGCTAATAACACTGTATCATGGCATGGAGGAGGAATAGTGGAAATGCACAACATTCCTCTTACCAAAACCATTTATGGAAAATAGGAACTGCATTAGAACATGTATCTCTGGATTGGAAATGATGTTAATATTTCTAGCCTTAAGTTTAAAAGATTACAATGTTCAAAATTTTTTGTTATACATTTGTTTAAATTTTTCCCTCTTTTAACAACTGGGATCTAGAGGGAAAAGACCAGAGAATGGCCAAAATTATTGGGGCAGCTATTGCTGCCAGTTTAGGGCCTGTGTCAGGAAAAGAAGTCTTACTCATAAACAGTGCCACCCAAAGGTAATAAAGGAGGTCAGAATTGCTTCCACTGTGGAAAGCTGGGCCACTTCAGTAGACAGTACCACAGACGAGAGCCACAGATAGGCAAGGGAGTAGAGAGGAAGCTCCCACTCACTTGCTTTAAGTGTGGATCTGAAGGACACTTGGCCAAGGGTGGCCACATCAGGTCCTCGTGGCTGACAGGACTGACATGCCCCAGCTCCCAGCTGGAAACAAAGGAGGATGCTTCAACAATTTAGATCCTCCCAGAAGAGCTGCGGGTGAGCATTAACATTACTGGAAAGTATATTCATTTTCTCCTGGACACAAGAGCCTATTATTTCATCCTAAAAGCCTTCTGAGGTCCCAACTCTTCTATTTCTTAGTTGTTGGAATTGACGGAAAACCTCATTAGCAGTTCCTTACTTCACCTCTGCCTTGCATGCGGACTTCCGAGTTGTAAAACAACCCAGTGGTAGATGGAATTTGTTCCAGGACTTAAGAACAATAAACGACATAGTTGAGCCTCTATATCTTGTGGTTCCTAACTATTATACTATAATAGAAAAAGTGCTAGTCAATAGGCCTTTTATTGTAAGAACTACCTTCCCTCTGTAATTTGATTTGTGCCACTATTAGAGCCTCTACTTGGAATATTATTGCTTTTTAATTTTTGACTCATGTACTTTTAACTTGTTTAATTTGTGTCTTCTAGGCTGCAACAGTTCCATGATACATCTTCAAGGATATGAACATGTACGGCTAAGCACAACTGATAACAGTGCATCTAAATTCCAAAATCAATCTCCATAATAGTCTATGTGTTTCCTATTGCCAAAGGGGCCCTTTAGAGTAGTGAGAGAAGATCTTCACTCTAAAACCTACAGTGTCCCTTTTCAGCAGGAAATAGCTGAGAGAATCCGCCATCCCCTTTTCCTTATGAATCAGGGTGAAGTCTCTCTCAGGGAGGAGTGATAAGGAATGGCAAAGGACACACTGATAAAGGAGACTAATCAGAACTGGCTTTGACAAGCATTGTGGCAACTGGACAATTAGAACAGATTTTAAAGGCGGGGGAAGGAGTAACTGGGGAGGAGGGTAGAGAAAATAGTGCAACAATGAATGAATGAAGACCCAAAATCTCTGTAAATGTTCATTAAAATTAATAAAATTTAATAATTTAAAAAAAAGTCACAAACTGCCCAGTCAGCCCCTATGTCTTCTCCCAATGCCCTGCCTGCAGACCTCTTCCTAGGCTTGTTTCAAGGGCAGGCTGTACTGGGAACGGTCCCTTTTCTCAGAATCACTTAGGTTGAAGTGACGCTCCAGGTACAGTCTTGCATTGTTAGAGCACATCTCTTTGTTGCCGATATTGGGTTGACATTGATTCATGGTGACCCGCAGGATTTTAGTGGCCAAGTTGTTGGAAGCAAATTGCCAGGCTTTACTCTCTGGAATATGCCGGCTGCCAGCACCCCCCACCCCAAATGCACTGCAGGGGAGTCGACTCTCGTTGCTGGCAAACCTGTTAGGTTTCCAAGGCTGGAATCATGATGGGAGCAGCAGGCAGATTTGAACCACCACCCTTTTGGTTAACAGTCCAGTATGTTAACACTTTTTGTCATCAGCGTTCCTTCACCATACTCCTATCTAATGGCCTTGAAGTTAAACTCTGGGAGGCATGGGCAGGGAAGGAAAAGGTGCAACAATGAATGAATGGAAATCCAAATTCTCTATAAATTGTCATTAAAATCTCAATTAAAATAAATTGAGCTCCTCAGATGTGAGGTGAGTCATCTCGCCTTAGTTCTCCGGGGAGCTCCCAGCGTGCTCCCCAGAACACTCGTTGACAGCACTGCAGGCTCTGTGCTCTCCTGCTCCTGTCTCCTTAGTGCCTTAGCCTCCCTCCCTCACCCAGCTCCGCTCTGGAGGCCAGAGGCAGAGGGGGCTGCTCCCAGGCCTGGCCGGCCCTGGCTTTAATGTAGTCCCAGGGCCCAAGGTGGGCGGGATTGCGCGCAAGGGGGCAAAATAACATAAAGGGAGAAAAGCTGCCCACCCACCACACAGGCACTCAAGCCCAGAGCCCACCGTTGGGCACAGTGGCCACTGGCAGCAGCTCTGTTCCCACATCGCTCTGCCCTCCTCTGCATTCTCTCTGGTCTGGGGAGCCGGCTGCCACACATTTCTTTTCTTCCCCAATTCTGCACTACCTCACTGAGGGTCCTGGAGGCAGCCTCAGGCCAGCTCTGTCTGGGAAGCAGCTGCTTTCCACATGTACAATTCAAACCACAGCAAGTTGTGAAGCAGGAGGCAAGCTCCCTCTGAAGAGGGAGGCAGAGAGGGATTCTGATTGGTTGAGAGGAAAAATGGGGCAAGAGCCAGAGATCTGAGAACATGCCATGGTCAAAACCCAGCAGGACTGAATTATCTAAAGGAACAAGAGTCTCTGCTTTGTAAAATGCCCTGCTGGAGGCGAGCAGCTCAGCTGGGCAGTGGCTGACTGTGCAGAGCCCTGCCATGAGAACACATCTCTCTGCCCACTGTGTGGCTCTCAACAAAGGAAACACGGGCTCCGAGAGGTGGTGGCTGGGGGTGTGGCTGTGCCGATACACCGGCCTGACAGGACAGAAACCCTTCACAGTGAATAGAGGTGAACAGTCTTTATTAGCGTATTAGCTTCCCATTGCTGCTCTAACAAATGACCACAATCCTAGCAGCTGAAGACAAATTTCTTCTTACATTTGGAGTCTGCATTCCTTTCACTGGGCTAAACTCAATGCTGGCGGTGCTGGATCCTTTGGGGGACCCCAAGGGGCAAGTCCACTCCCTTGACTTCTAGATTCTGGAGGTGCCTACACTCTGCGGCTCCCAACTCCTTTCTAGTATTGCTCGAGCCTCTTAATCTACTTCCTCTCTGATCTCCTGCCTCCCTTTTAAAGAATTTTGTGATTAGGATTAGGTCAAATACACTGGATAATTCCCCATCTCAAGAAGCCTTATTTAATCACATCTGCACAATCTCTTGACATATAAAGTCACATTCACAGATGCCTGGAGTTAGAAAATAAATAATCTGTGAAGTGACATTATTCAGTCTACTGCTATGCCCTCTAGGATTCTCAGTGACTGGGAGAAAAAAGATGAGGGACTTTCCACCTTGGGGGTCCTTACAAGCTTGTATTTTTAAAGGTGTGGGCTTTGCTACTGTTTCCCTATATAGCAGGAACAGCTCACTCCTGTGTCCTCTGGAAGACAAGTGTCTTTTTTCCAGAAGACAAGTGTCAAGTTCAAATGCTGGTGAGAAGGGCAGGGCCAGCCCAGAGTCTCCCAGGTAGAGTATGCTGCCCTGAGCCCACTAACTGGACAGACCTGCGGTCGGGAAGGGAAACATAAGAGCCTGGAGCCTGGAGATGGTCCCATGGGAGACCAGCCTGAGCTCACCAGAACATGGCAGCCAGGGAGAAGGGCGGCTGCAGAGGCTGGTCTGGTGCTGGGGCGCCTGGATGAAGAAGCTGGGGGCTGCGCTGATGGTGGCGCTGCAGACGTGGTGAGAGAGTCACTGGCCCCTAGCTTCCGGAGGTGAGGGTGAGGTCCTCCCAAGTCCTGGCACTGGTCCTTTTCTGTGTAATAATGAGTAAGCAGCCGGGGAGGTGGGCACCCCAGCGCAGGTGGGCATGGAGTCTCCCCTGCTACCTCTTCTCCATGTCCTCCATTTGCAAGCTGAGAGATGTGAAGCTGGCCAGGAGGTCGGTCACCTCGTCCACCTGTTGGGGAAAAAACGAGGGTGTCATTGAGCACCGGGCCCCAGGTCTTCTCCACAACACGTTCGGCACCGTCTCTCCTGCTGGGCACAGGCTGGCTGCCCTTCCCCGACTGGCAGCACCCTAAAAACTAATCCTTGACACCTGGTTGCCCCGGCGGCCCAAGAGGTGTCATGTGCACAGGAGAGTCCAGTGTGGTTTGGAAGGAAGTGGACAGAGGCTGTGAATGGCACAGTGGTGCACCCCTCCCGCGGGCTTTGTGATGAAGAGGTGACTGCTTGGGAGCTGGGGCGGGCTGGCCCTGGGCCCCACCTGCTCTTTGGTACTGGTCATCTGGAGGCGGTTGCAAAGGTCATCCAGCTGTTCCCGCTGCTCGTGCCGGCCCAGGCGCTCCAGGTACTCCCTCAACATATGGATGATCTGAAACGAGAGCCTGAACTAAGCCGCCTTGGTTCCACTGAGGCCGGAGGCTGTTGCCCAGAGGCCAGACAGAGCAGGTGCCCGCTGGGCTGGGCTGCAGTGTGACCCTTTGGTCTCCAGCAGGGCGGGGTGTGCTCACCTGCTTCACCTCGAGCCGCACAGCCTCTAGGCACTGGGACTTGCACTCCTGCAGGATGTTCAGCTTGGACTTGGCCAGGTGAAGAGGCGTGCGGCCAGCTCGGTCCTGGGCATCCACACGGGCACCTATGGGTGCAGGCAGAAGTCAGCACGCTGGGGTGGAAGGGGGGGGCCAGGAAAGGGGAGGGCAGGAGCCACATACCTCCTCGCAGCAGGATGGTGATGACAGGAACATGGTTGGTGCAGGCCGCTGAAGAAGAAAAACAGGGCTTGAAGTCCAGGGCACAGGAGGACTGGGTCTGTACCCACCAGAGGGGCAGGGCTGTATCTCTGAGACAGCATCAATAATGTAATAGCTGGGCAGGACTCAGCAAGCACAAAGTCTAACAGGGACTTGTAAAGCTGGGGAGACTGCTGAGACAGAGGGTAGCTGCCTCACTGCTCGCCATGTCAGTCTCAATGGGAGGACTGGACATCCCACGGGTCTCCCACATTAAGGCTCGCCCGGCAGAGCTGAGCAGGGCTTGGTCCCCAGTGGCTCTGCCCAGGCACAGCTGACAGTGATGGGAAGTTCATGGCACGCAGGCTGAGGGTTAGAGGGCCGCCCCTGAGGCCAGGCTCTCCCTGGGATGCTGAGGCCACAGTGCCCCACACACTCACCCAGGTGCAGCGGTGTGTTCCCTAGTCCGTCTCGTTGGTTGGGATCGGCCCCGTGGTCCAGGAGCAGCTGCACTGGAGACAGGAAACCCCAAGAAGGGCTGAGTGAGGCCTCTTGTGACACTCCATCCCACCCCCACTCCCAGAGAGGCTGGGTCACATGTAAACATGGCCCTTCTGCTTCACTCATTCACTATCCAGGCCCACACAGCAGGATTCGGGGAGGGCTCACAGCCCATTGGTGCAGGCAGCCTGCTGTTTGCCGGGTTATGTTGGTCTTACACTGGCAGTGACGGTTCTCAGCAAAGGACATTTTCTGCCTCTCCTCAGCCAAATGGGAACCAGACCATGCCATGGTGCCGGGCATGGTGATTAACAACCCCGAGGTTGGGCTACCCCAGGGCGAGCTGCTGTATGAGAAGCACGTGGCAGTGAGCATGGGGGCACAGAGGCAGCACACCGATCCAGGGCAGCACACCATTCAACACAGCAGATTTACTTCACGTTTTAGTTCACTTAAAGCCACCATTCAGAGGACAAAAAGGCAAGTTCAAGATGGGAAAAACTTTGGCAGGAGAAAGGCCGGTTGCAACACCCCCATGATACATCTTCAAGGATATGAACATGTACGGCCAAGCACAATCAATAAGAGTACATCTAAATTCCAAAATCAATCTCCATAATAGTCTGTGTGTTTCCTACTGCCAAAGGGGCCCTTTAGAGTAGTGAGAGAAACCCACAGCGTCCCTTTTCAGCAGGAAGTAGCTAAGAGAATACGCCATCCCCTTTTCCTTATGACTCAGGGTGAAGTCTCTCTCAGGGAGGAGTGATAGGGAATGGCAAAGGATACACTGACAAAGAAGATTAATCAGAACTGGCTTTGACAAGCACTGTGGCATTTGGACAAGAACAAACTGGGAGGAGGGTAGAGAGAATAGTGCAACAATGAATGAATGGAAACCCAAAATCTCTGTAAATGTTTATGAAAATTAATAAAATTATAAAAAAAAAAGATGGGAAAAACTTGTAGCCATTGAGTCAATTCTGACTCCTATGTTACTGAGGGTCACTAAGATCGCTATGTCCTGTCGAGCCAGAAGTGGCCTGTAGCTGACTCTCCTGAGGGTTTTCAGAGGCAGAAAAGTCACCTGAGAGGGGAGACTGCCCAGCTCTCTCCCTCAGAGCAGCGCAGCTCCTCATCCCTAAGACCACCAGAGGTCCTGTGACACAAGAGACGATTCATGTCCACAAGGCGGCCATGAGGCGGCCGTGACCCCGGGGAGTGATGATGCACTCATTGCCCTCGGGAGACCCCTGCAAGATCACCTCCCCAAGGGGAGCTGCTATGAGCAGCCAGGCAGCGGAAAGAGTTTGATGAAGGCGTGGCTTACAGATAGGGTCCTTCTTGTTTCTGCTGACTCCTGCCATTCTCTGGAGGTGAACCAGCAGGTGGGCGTATCTGCCGACCTTGGGTTCATCCGCCTCCAAAGCCAGCGGTCCACTGCCTTCCTGGCCTGGCAGCTGTCAGCCTCTGCAGCTCCTCAAGTCAGGACAAAGTCTTCTGTTGACTCATGAATGCGGGAACTTCAGCCTCTGCAAGTGGCCGACCCGTTTCTGCGACATCAGTCTCCTTATATAAAGATGTCGCTATGTGCCATCAGCACCAGCAGTCGGAACCAACTCATAGCTGAGCTTCTAGCACGTTTTGAAAAGCTGTAAGTCACAGGGGAGGAGACTGCCCACCTTCTTCCCGCTGAGCAGCCAGTAGATCTTAGACACGTGCCCTTGGACTGGCAACTCTTACCGCCAGAGCTCTCCGGAGCATGCGCACTGGTAACAACTGCGCAGACAGCCCCTCCGACTGGCTCTGCTACTCTAGAGACCCTAGTCTAAGGCAAGGGTGGTTGCAGCCTGTGTCATCTTTCATCCACAGAACAGCTCGTGAGTGAACTGTCCCAGTTGGTTAGAAGCTGAGCACTTAACCACTGCTCTATCAAGATTCCTACTGTCTCTACAACCAGGAGAGGAGAAAATAGATGAATGGGACCTTCTAAGAATTAAATCCCTATGCATATCCAAAAACTTCTCCAATAGGGTAAAAAGGGAAGCCACAGGTTGGGGAAAAAATATTTGGTAATGACATATCTGACAAGGGACTTATATCAACTATGAGATATCATCTCACCCCAGTAAGAATAGCAAAATTTAACAGAAAGGCAAAGATCAAATGCTGGCGAGGCTGCGGAGAAACTGAAACCCTTATTCACTGGTGGGAGTGTAAAATGGTGACACCACTATGGAGGGCTATATGGCACTTTCTCAAAAAGTTGCAATAGAAAACCATTTGACCCAGCAATTCCACTACTGGGAATTTACCCCAAGGAAACCATAACTGCCACCCAAACAGATATATGCTCACCCATGTTTATTGAGGCTTTGTTCACAATAGCAAAGAGCTGGAAACAACCCAAGTGCCCATCAACAAACGAATGGATAGAAAAGCTCTGGTATGCTCACACAATGGAATACTATGCAGCATTGAGAAACAAAGAACTCATGGAATATACAGAATGGGTGACCCTGGAGGACATTATGCTGAGTGAAATATCTCAGTCACAAAAGGAAAAATATTGCATAGGGCCGTTGTTGTAAAATGAGACTGACAATGGGGTTGAGATGAAGACAGAGAAGGAGGGGATGCACTGAAACAGATGAGGGAGAAAACTGTTTAAAAAGGATTGGGTATTATGTCGTAACAGGAGTCCAGAGTGAAGGCTGCATAGTGGAGTGGACTTGGGGGGCGGGGTGAGACTGTGTAACAATGAAAGAGTTTTCCTTTTACTTTTCAAGGAGAAGAGTGAATTAGGGGGAGGGGAGTGCATCAATGAATGGAAACCCTAAGTCTCTGTAAACTTTCATTAAAATTAATAAAAATTTTTTTAAAAAAAGGATTAATTAACTTTGTGTGTGTGTGTGTGTGTGTGTACTGTCAAATCAGATGTGACTGGTACAGGAGGAGATTGTTCCTCCTTTCTCCAGCAGAGCATCTGGTGGATTTGAACTGTGCACCCTTGGGATTGCAGTGCAGCTTCTTGCCATTAAGCCACCAGAGCTCGCCAGATTAATTCACTTTAAAGTAACAATTAAAATGTTCATAAATTTGAAATCATCAAGCAGAGGACAGCTAGAAATGTATGGTTAAGGTTGACTTAAGAGCAAATACACATTACAGTGTGCCGCCCAAATCTATAGGAAGTGGCTGTCCACTATCCCACAAGACTCTGGCTGAAGGACAGGCTGAGGCTTAGGGTGGGGCCAGGCTGCTCTCACACACTTTCTCACACAGTCCTACAGATGCAGAACTGCCTACCTGCCATAAACACTTTCCTCTCTGCCAGGTTTCCAGAAGACGTACATCATAAAGGAGGACTACTACCATTTTAAGAAGCATGATGAGCATGATAGTTCTGCAAGCCCCACAAGCCCCTCGTGCATTACTTCCCTTCCTGGGCATGCACATAATGTCAGGGAGCACACGGCCCTCCTCCACCCAGGACTTACCTATCTGGTCGTTGCCATTGCAAGAGGCAAAGTGCAAAGCTGTACGGCCCTTGTCGTCTGCTGCACAGGGATCCACGCTATTGTTCAGCAGCTCCTGCACTGACATCAAGAAAAGGGCAGAAGGGCAGAGTGAGTGTCGCCCAAACTACAGTCTTTGGGGACTCAGAGAGGCAGGGATGGCTCAAAGTGTCCTTACTGCACAGGAAAGTCAGACTGCCCCGAACTCTGGCCCCACAAGGGCTGCTTGGACAGGCTTGCTCTCCGGTTATGAGTGGTCAAATCTCATGTCTAGGATGGGTGTTTGCAGGAAACCCCCTGCAAGGACTCCTCCACCTAAGCTTGGATATGCATCGATTCCAGCTGATGACACCATCTCAAACTAGTGACCAATCTTTACTTTGTAGGCAAGGCAGCCTGGTGAACTGGAGCACCAGGGAGCCACAGAGAGCTGGATTTAAAAACCACCACTAAGGGAGCTCTGGTGGCCTAGTGGCAAGACGCTGCACTGCAATCCCAGAGGTACGCGGTTCAAATCCACCAGATGCTCTGCTGGAGAAGGAGAAGGCAATCTCCTCCTGTACCAGTCAGATCTGATTTGACGGTACACGTAAAATAATACAATAAATAAAAAAACGAACAAAAAAACCCCACCACTGTGGGCAAGTTGCTAGGAGAGGCAATTCCTTGAAGAGGGACATCATGCTTGGAAAAGTGGAGGGCTGGTAAAAGAGAGGAAGACCCGCAGCCAGGCGGACTGACACAGGGACTGCAGCAATGGGTTTGAGTCTCCTAAGTCATGGTCATTCTGGGCCTCACAGCACCAACTGTTGGCAGTGGCTGCAGGAACTGAATGAAGCAATTAAAGCCTAGCTTTGTGTCTGGCCAGGAGCTTAATCAATGCCAGCCACACTGCTTTCCAGGAGCCCTAGTGGCACAAAAGATTAAGTGTTGGGATTATTAACTTAAAAGGTTGGTGGTTCAAACCCACTAGCTGCACCAGGAGAGCCAGATGAGGCAGTCTGTCCCTATAAAGATTTAGAGCCTTGGAGGTCACGGGTCTGATTTAACTTGCCAATGTACGTTAGTACAGATTTACTCTTTATTCCTGGCTGGGTGGGCGAAGATGTAGCCTCCTGTGTTCTGAACTGCATTGTGCTCCTGGGAGTTAATGAAATTACTGAACCAGAGTACTGTGTGTCCTTAATCCTAAACCCTCCTGAGTCACACATGGGAACAAATCAAGAAACACTAAGTAGAGAGTGAGGCTCTGTCGAAGCCATCTCCTGTGGCCAGCTCAGCGGCTCGTTCAGAAGAAGTCTTTACCTCACTAATAAACCCTTGTCTGCCTGGGGGGAGGAAGACCCAGGGCTGCCAGAGCTAAAAGGTCTTCCCACACAGCACACACAGCTCTGTGAACAGCCCCTCAGACCGGTGAGAAAATACACTGCTGGTCATGAAAGCCACCCCCTTTGCGCTGTTTTCGGTGGGTTTTGGTTATGACAGCTAACCTGAGTAACAGAAGAAACAGCCTCAAATTAAAGTCTACCAACACTGAAGCCGACTTCAAATGATCCCAGTAGTTATTATGTGCCCTCAAATAAACTGCCATTCACAGCGACCTAATGAACAGTATCACCAATCCCTGCCCTATCCTGAGCCAACCTCACTGTCTCTGACACATCTGCCCCCATCATCCCAGTCACTGTGTCAATCCATCTCATCCAGGGTCTTCCTCTCCTGCGCTGACCCTCCACCCTTCAACGCTTGATGTCCTTCTCTAAGTACTGGTCCCTCCTGACAACAAGCCCAGAGTATGAAGACAGGAGACTTTCATTTGGTGGGTTTCTTCTTCCAAAGTACCCAGGCTGGAAGAACATTTACAAGTTAGTACTTCAAGAGGGAGTGCATGGGGGTGGTTTTAAGAGCCAACTCCCACACCACACCGTCTTGGTTCACATTTTGCTGAGAGGCTTTAAAGAAGCTACTGCCTTGTCTGGAGTCTTAGCCGTGAGAACCAAATAAGCTCCTCCAGGTGAAGCGCCCCCACAGTGCCTGCAACTTAGCAAGTACTCAACAAACATAAGCTCCTGCCATCAAAAACTTTTTCCAACAGGGTGAAAAGAAAACCTACTGATTGGGAACAAACATGACAATATCATCTCAGACAAGGGTCTCATAACAAAAGTTTACAGAATCCTGCAGGGCTTCCCCAAGAAAAAGAATGATAACACAATTACAAAATGGGGAAATGACATGGAAAGACTACACAGGAAGACATCTGGATGGTCAACAGACACATGAAGAAATGCTCAAAATCACTGGCATTAAGAGATGCAAATCAAAACCACAATGAAATACCATCTCACAGCAGTAGCAGTTGCAAAGTTTAAAAAGACAGCAAGTAATAAACCTTAGTGAGTAATAAACGTTAGTGAGTATGCGAAGAGATAGAACTCTCATACACTGTGGGTGGGATCGTAAAATGGTATAACCATTCTGTAAGGCAGTTTGGCGCTTCCTAAAGAGCTGAACATAGAAATTCCATATGACCTAGCTATTCCATTGCTTGGAATATATTCTGAGAAAATTAGAACAGAGACACAAATGGAGATTTGTACATCAATGTCCATAGCAGTGTTATTCACCATCGCAAGAAAATGGAAACAGCCCAAATATCCAACCACAAGTGAATGCATTGAGAAACTCTGGTACATTGACACGATGGAATATTATGCAGCACCCCAGGAACAATATTTCAAAAATTACTACATAATTGGAAGAGACTGGAGAGCATTATGCTGAGTGAATTAACCATTATTATACAAATAGTAAACAGAACTAGTAAAATGTGTATGAGGATCCCAGGGAGGGAAGGACTGGAGCAGAGGGGAGAGGACGGGCAGGGGGTTAATCACAGGGAGGCAGGATTTGATGGGTGGAGGGAGGGGTGGATAAAGGAAACGGGAGAGATCCTGCAGGGAGTCAGAAAGACAGGGTAATGGTGAGCATAGTTCAATGCTGATTAGTTTTATAAAATAATGAATGGGAATGATTGTATGAAACACAATGCGAATGAAGGAAAATGTGAACACAAGGTTACATAATATAAGCAAACCAATATAAAGAAAACGTTCTTTTTTAATGGTTTGTTGTTGTTGTTGTTGTTGTTATTTGTTCCTCTGGAGTCTTGAGAACACCAGCCTAGGCGGCAGGGAGAAACAGGTGCACCCCTACCTGGTAAGTGTCCCCATGGTGCCTGGTACTTAGCATGTCCCCAACAAACGTAAGCTCCTGTGGTGACCACGGTTGTTCCCATGCGAGGAAGCAGGCCAAGTGCTCCTACTTCCAAGCTTGCATGTACAGCTAGCTACACTGACAGACGGACACGAACCACACGTTATTCAAAGTCTCAGACGAAGCTAATTAACAAGGAAGGAGTGCAGTGCCAATAGCATGGGGCAGTGCCCAGCGCCAGGTAGGGGGCACAAGGGCCCCGATCTGGGTCCCTGCTCACCAGTAACCTTTTTTGTTTTCTTGGGCAACTTCTTCAACCTCTGGCCCTTAGCTGACCTATTTGCCAAATAGGAACGAATCACTCTAACAATATCCCGAGGTGTGATGTAAATGTTCTTGCTGGGTATGTCAAGTCACTTCCAAATGACAGCACTCCACGTGACAGAGCTCAGTGCCTGGTGCCCATCCTCATACGGAAGCAGACCACAGTTCTTTTTCCCCTTGCAGAGATGCTAGGTGGCTTTGAACTGCAAACCTTAGGATTAGCAGTCAGGTGTTGAGGTGTTACCTCACAGGGTTTTCTTGCTTTGAGAGTATTAGGGATGACGTTACTTCTTTGAATATGGAAAAATCAGTACTATACAAGTGTTAGGGGCTTATCAAACATGCTGTAACATGGCCAAATGAAAAGGAGGCATTGCTGGAAGCTATCACATTTTGTTTGTTGTTGTTGTTATGTGCCGTCGAGTCACCTGCGACTCATAGCGACCCTATGTACAACAGCCCTAAACTCCGCTCTGTCCTGCGCCAATCGCACTGTCTCTGATATTCCCATCCCAATTATCCCAGTCACTGAATCAATCCACCTCATAGAGGGCCTTCCTCTCCTGCGCCGTCCCTCTACCCTCCCAAGCATG